TCCATAAAACTCTTTCTATATTTAAACCTGTATCAGCATATCTGGTTGGTAAAATTTATTTTCACCCTACCTTGCTTCTTTTCATAGATTCTTTTCAAGTGGAGTATCAGAACAAAAAGTATCTGGCCACGTTTTTCTTTTCAGTCCTGCCTTTTCTAGATAAATTTGTCCTTTTGATGTTTTGCATGGGGCAACTGCAACTTCTTTTTCTTTGTTGTAGTCTTCCTCACATTATCACAGGTAAAATTCATTCTTCTGGTACATTTATAATATAGCCGTCATGTGTGTTTTGGGTACATGTGTGATGCATCTGCTTGGTTGAGCTTGATGATGTGAAGAAGAGTCACAACTATCAACACAAAGAGAAATAAGTGAGAAAATAGACATAGGGGTGAAGGCTGCTTCCTTAGGAAATGTAAAGAGCTCAGGAATAAGCCCACAGAGACATGAGAGCCAAAACTTTGATACAAATTAATCAGTGATTTCTAAATAGATTGCTTACCCAAATAGCCAAATAAAATAACTTTCTTATACAACTTTCCCAAAAAATTGATTTGGCAGTCTCTATAAATTATCATTGATGGAATCAATGGATTATTGTGATAAAGATTTTCTCTGTAATCAAAGTTTTACAGACTAACATGATAGATAAATCTATGCCAGATCAGTGTCATTTGTCATATTTTATCCATAATTCCATTCCATTTCTATGTTTATCTGTTTATTCCTTTTAAGAAAAGTCCTGTCAGAATAATATATTAAGAATAATTGAATCTGTATTACATACTTAAGGAATATACAGGACGGTATCACAGCTGCTAGACCATTGAAGCTGTCTGAACTGAAAGAAAATCTTTTTTCCCAAGCATGAATCCATAGAGTCCTCATTAGCAAACTTTATTAAGAAGAATGTAGGAGTATTACAAGAACTCCAACAAATGAACTGTTTTCTCTTTAGAACCAAAATATATCTCTGTACATTAGGGAGGGGGCTTTTCTGAGTCTTTTTCTCACAGTTTTTTAACAGTGAGGAGGTGGATCTTTTCTCAGATATGGGGTCTATGCAGCTGTGGGTTATATTGGTAAAAAGTCACTTGAATCTTTATTAGTCTGAGAACTAACTCTACCAACAGTGTTCAGAGAAATAAAACATTAGGTAGATATCTAAAGTTTCTCATTGCACCTTAGCTAAATTAGGGCATTTAGCACATTAGCACATTTTATATTTTTTTAAAAAACAATCCCAATAATTGAATTGTCAAGCATCTCTTTTTAAGTATTTCTTTTATTGATGGCCTTTTCGTTCCTATAACCAAATCTCTATGGTTGGGCTGCTATCTCTATGGTACAGTTGGTTTGCCTTTTGGGGCCATTACAGTATAAATATTGGTGAGATGGAATAGCTCAGGAGAAATGAAGCAACTAAGTTTCTCTCACTTAGAGAATGGTATTGTTCTTGGCCTTGATCCTCTGAACATTCGATCGCATGTTTTCCTAGTAGTCATTATCAACTGCATTTGCAAGGAAGGCAAGCAGGGCCAGGTGAAGAAAACACTGCCATCATACAAGCCCCACCCCAAAGGGGTGGAGCTTGTGGCATGGCACTGCCACATTGCTTTCATCATGCTGACAAAAGCAGGGAAAGCCTGAGGATACTGCTGGTCCTTATCTAACATTTGACAGAATTTGTAGCCCCTTTTCATTTCTATTTAGCATTTTTGGTTCCCCTGTTGGGAGACATGACCCAACAGAACATGGAAGGGAAAAGGGATTTTGTAAAAATGCCTGCCTTTGAGTTCCTCAGCAATAAAATATCCATTGGACTGTAGTAATATGTAGTTGCACATATTCTAAATGCATTTTATTTTCTGGCACAAAATCATAAAATGTTTGATTTTTCTAAGACTCCTTTATGTCCCTCCCCTTTCTCCCCACCTCTTTTTTAACATGCTTTCCATAAAACTCTTCATGCAGTTGTGGCAGAAAACAGTACTATGTGCAGCCAAGCCACTGCTGTTCAGACGTGCTTAGAGTGCTTGAAATCAAAATATATGTTTTTCAGCTCATGAATGAATCCATTTCTCTCGTCCATTCAGTTACATATGGTTCTATCTGTAATTGTCTTATATTACATTTCCACATAAATCTATAATTAAAAAGAAAAAAAACTTTCAAAATGTGCATCAGTTGAAACTATGGAGAACCACATCTCAGGATTTGGAAGAAGGCAAGATAAAATGGATAGTGACTTCCAAACTCCATATTAGTCTCAGAGGTCCCAGATCAGATCACACCATTAATTCATAATGTCCAGATTCTTCAGATGTCCCTTCTTGGCCATTTTTTTCCTCCTTCCAACTGCTTCACAAGAAAGGAAGAGTCAAATATGGTTTTCTTCAACAGATAGAGATTGAGCTTCTAAAAGCAGGAGATGTTAATACTGCCAGCTTCCTCCAAGGCAGGAAATGTAAGCATCCTCCTAATTGCATTTGAAAACAGTCCACAAAGTTCTTCTCTGAAGATTTTATGGCAGCCAGTCTTTGATTCCTCACATATTTATTAGTGAATGTACATTTTTCCTACTTTTAACTGAATGATATAGCCATTTTTACTGGCTGAAATGTATTACCAGGCAGGCACTAGCACAATTAACAAGGATAATAAAGACAATGGATCATTTTTCAGTGAACAGAGCCCATTTAAAAGATCTGCAGTTATTTAACATCCTCTGTACTTGTCCATCAACCTTTAATAATAGTTTTGGAACAAACTCTTGCATGCTGATTGCTTCCTAAAAAAAAAAAAAAAATCCTTTCACCAACAAAACTCCCTGGTAAATTGACCATTTATTCTTTGACAAAGTAATTTCAAGAAAATATGCAGCCAGACGAAAGCAGATTATTCACCTTTACCTGAAGGAATCTCTGAATGCAAGTCCCATAAAAAGGATGGATTTACATTTGCTCAGTCTTCAAATGAGCGCTTGCTCAGATCGCAATGCCAACCTGGTAAATAAAGCAGGTGGCTTGCAGGCATCTTGTTGCTTCCTGACAAGTGAAAAGCTTGAAGGCAGCTCTGACAATTGTGGCTTTTCTTGGGGTTCCTGTTTGCATGCTGGCAGGCAGCAAAGTCTATGAGCCTTTGAACTAACTTCCCTTAGGAGAATAAACAAACCTCAGGTGGTAAATGATCTGCCAGTCAAATGCACTCAGCCAATAAGAGAGCAGCTGGGTTTCTTCACACAACCGACAGACAGAAAGTTTCACTCAGCACTTCCTCAAGTTTGTCCGTCTGTTTAGCCAGAGTTAGAAAATTATCTTAGGAATATAGTGCAAGGTATTCAGTGTTTATTATACTCATTACCAGTCATCAGAACATTCTGTTGCATTCTGTTCTGTTCTGTTCTTTCATCTTATTCGTTCTTATCACATGCTTTGAATTTCTGAATGGATTTGCATAGTCTTTTGAAATCTAATACTGTAGACTTCAAAAATCCCAACTGAACTGTCAGTTCCAATAAATTGCCTTCAAATGAAACCTTTGAACTGCACAACCCTACCCATCACCACAGGCCAAGAGAAATGGGGAAAAAAGCATGTGTTTGTGTGAATCTGGGCTTAAGGCAGTTGCTACTGCACTCCAGAGATACTCACAAGCTCTTCTCTTCTTATTTGTCAGCCAATGGAATTTGAACCCAACTGTGTTTTTTTCCAGAACCATTCTCATTCTTAGACCTAATTTGCCATTCCTGATGGACTGAGAACTATGACTCCAGAGTGGTCTATTGATTAACTGACATCACGTTATCCCTTCCTTGGGCCAAGTTACTCTTACCCGAATGACTTAGAGACCATTGCTGCCCCCTCTGAGGTGAAGCCCATGCCTTCTGTCTGCCAGAATCCAAGGTTATAGATCCTGCAGTAGCTGATCTCTGTACCTGAAGCCTCCAACTCTGATCAGCTGCTATTGGTACTTTTGCCCAGTCTCAGACTGAACTGGAGCTTGTCTTCACAAGTTGGCCTGTCCTGCCAATGACTAGCAAATATCTACACCAAATTAAGCCAGAGCTTAAAATGCCTGGGGGCAGGGGTGGGGTATGGGTGAGCCAAGTAATGGGTTGGTGAAATCTTACCATTATAATAAACTTCTATTCTCCTCTTGTAAAATGATATCACTTAGAAAATGCTGACAACTTAGTTGGTCTCCTGAGAATGCTCATACATTGAATAGAGAGTGGGAAGGTATGTCAGAATAACAATAAGTAGATATGAATGGGTAATTAAATGCCCCCAACCCACTATTTTACAGTAGTTAATATAGCATCTTTAGTTGAAAAATGGTCTCTACCTCCAATAATTAAAATCGAAGAACTGAATCATTCAAGCATCTCCCAAGCATTAGGTAAGACGCCTACATAGCTGGAGAACAATTGATAAACTTAATCATTGCTATTGTTATACATAGTTCTCTGTTCTTTCTTTAGATTGTTAAAAACAACAATGGGAAAAGATGGCTTTTTTCTAATTAACTAGAAGATGTTCTGGGAAATATTGCTTACCACTAATTAAAGAAGAAAGGGCACCTCCTTAATAAGCAGGCAGTACAAAACCTTGATGGTTGGAAGAAAGGGGTTGTGAACAGATCAACAGGATGTGTTTTCCTTTGGGACTACTTCCTGAGCTATAGTACATAAAGATAGATCTGTAATCTGTAATGGCATTACTTGTTTGTACTGTAGCCTTTATATTTTAATACTTTTTCTTTAAATCAGGAATGCACTAGTTAGCATTGACAGAACTTCAGTAAAATCCATTCAGAAGCCTTTGTGGAATATTGCTGAAGTTTGATGAATTTTGATACGTTGTAGGGACCACCACATGGTTGAGAATATCGCCCTGAGTCTATGGAAAAGTGATTGTTATAGAGGATTTTCCCTACCATTAGGCAAAGGAAGGTGGTTGACCTAAGCAGAAGACCTTAGGGGTAGCTATGAGACATTAGAGACCAGAACTCTTGGTGCTTCTGGCCTCTCCTAAGCTACCTTCCTGTCATCAGGTATGTACTCCCATTGCCACACCAAAAAAAGATTCAATTATCACTTGGATTGGTTTCTGTATGTGGAATAGGGGAGATGTAATATATTATCCTTCACCACAGAAAGTAAATAGCTTGAGCTGTGCATGATTGTACAAATCACATTCTTTGCCCAATTATCCCGTGGATAGCTCTGCTGGCAATCCTGATACTTTATTGATGAAAAAACTAAATTGGTTTGACAGTGCATCAGAACATGTTGACATGATAAGGACATCAGACATGTTGATATGTTAATATATCTGAACATATTGATACATTGGGTGCAATGGAGCTGCTGTGACTATATTTTTAGGTGTCCTTCTATTTTAGCATTGTTTTATGTCTGTAATATATTGGCGTGTTTTAATATGCTATGAAACAATATATTGGGAGAAATAACCATGAAAGGCAATCCATAGAAAATTAAATTAAAAGGTCTCTGAAAGTATCAAATGAAAGAAGAGCTGGAAAGTTAGTGTTGCTTTTATCCCATTATATTGATGTTTGCACAAAAAGGTTTAATGCCCATTAGAACATTTTAATAGATACAGAATACATGCAGAGCACAGCTTCTGCAATCTTTCTAGCCCCTTTTCCAGCAGTGGCTATGGGAGGCATCTGCCTTTTCTTCTGTGTAATGAAATAATATGCTGTATCTTTGTCTGCATGTTTCTTCTTTTTCCACAAGTTGCATATGTGTGTGCGTATACTGGGAAACACAGGGTGGGCTGTATACATTCCATTCTGGGTCCCCTGACCAAGAAGAAAAGGCAAGGGGCTTAGAATAGAGTAGTCACCAACATCCTGAGTCACTGCCCAATTGCCTCTGCCATAGGAATGCATTGTTCCATGCCCCTTCCCTAGGGATTTTTTTTCCCTATAGCCCCCAGTCAGATCCAGACCATTTTTAATACAGTTTTTTAACTAATTAATTTATTTTATTCAATTTATATGGCCACCACACACAAGCTGGCTTCTCCCCACCCCAGCCCCCATCCTCCAAATTTGTTCTATAAGCTCTAGCTCCTCCCAAAATAATAAAAACAGTAGAAAGTATGCCCATGCAAAACCCCTTGTCCGCAGAAGCAGCAAAAAACCTGTAATGCACTCATTTGGGACAGAACCAGCAATACATCTTTTCCTCGTTTTAGATAAACTGGCAGATAGATCAACATATCAGTCTCAGACAGGTCTACTGGTCTTTTGAAAGTCAGCTGAACGTGGATTTAGGATTCCTTCACAGTGGGCTGGGAGTGAGTCAAAGGCTGCGTTGTGTGGACCCATCATCTAAAAATGTTGAGGCACCTTCATGCTGCAGATAGTGAGACATGAGGATGAGCCTTCAGATTATGACAAAATATATTTAGGGAACATCATTTTTTTTTTTTATTTGTAAGCCATCCAGAGTCTATTGGAGTGGGAGGTTATAATAAATTTAAATAAATAATAATATTCATCATCTCATTTCTTAGTCCCCAGATGCTAAGAGCATGTGCTCTGTTTTAATGAAATAAGAATCTTATAAGATTCAAGGGGGTGAATCTGGGACCTCTGCATACAAAAAAATTGCTCTGTCGTTGATTTATGATTTTTTGTAAGTTACTGAGCTCCAGCCTTCCACCTATTATACCAAGGATGATATACTTTACAAGTGATCATATTAGTAAATTACAGTTTATTGTTCTCCATATAATTAAAGAAAAGTTAAACTCCTAACCTAAAAGATGTTCATGACACTTTTTAAAAATTTTCCTTTGCAGTTTGATCCTCATCCAAAATTACAATAAGGGTACATACATACATATACACATACACATATGCATACACATACCTGCCATCAATGAACTTGTAGCATGCTTGCATTTTGAGATCCTTTCTTGTAGGATAGTCTGGCACATACATTTTCTAAAGGTTGGAGAAATATTCTGCTTTTGATCTTATATAAACGAATTGGCTCAGAAGTAACCTGGAAAATATTATATGCCTGTCTTTTTCTTTTTTTTTAATCTCCAATTATTGTAAATTGCAACTGGTCCCAAATGAAGCTGTCAGGCTGTGTACCTGTGCAAGCTACCAGAATAATATGATCCCTGAACTGAAAGTTCTACACCGGTTGCCAGTTGTCTACTGGACACAGCTTAAGGTGCTGGTGTTGACCTTTAAAACCCTCTATTGCTTAAGGCCGGACTATCTGAGGGGCGACTCTCCCACCATGAAGCTGTTCAGGTGGATCAGTAGGAGAGGCCTTCTGCTTCCAGAAACCCATCTATCTGGTATGTGGGAGAGGTCTTGTTTTGTGTGCCCCTCCCCAAGCTAGCGAATGAATTTCCCAAGGAGGTAGATTTTGCCCCCGCTTTCCAGTCTTTACAAAAATGGTAAAAACAGATTCCATTCCACAAGCCTTTAACTGGTAATTATTTTAACGCTATTGATTTTAATTTCTGCTTTTATTTTCTGAGATGGATTTTCACTGCATAGATTTATTGTTCTGTTTTATTCTGTATTGTGTAGTTTTTAATTCCTGTAAGCCACCTTGAGAGAGGTGGGGTGTGATTTCAGTAGAAAAATAAAATGTATTTTCAGGGAGAGCAACAGATTTGATGTTTTTACAAAAACGGTATTCAGTTGCTTTCTGAATTTCAGCATTCATTTCTTTTTAGTGGTATCACCTCTATATCCAGACTTCTACAATCATCTTCTTTGACAAGAGACCTTTTTTTACTAATTTTATTAGTTATCCACTTTTCATGCATGAGAATGATCCCTCAGACAGAAAGATGAGGCAAGAATTAGCAATGAATTTAGTTCCTAATCTTGTCACTTTACAGATTGTCTAGTTTATATGTTTTGCTTTAATTCTTTCCAATGTGTCCCATAAGAGCAGAGATGGTTAGAAGAAAGATTCTTATTTGTTCCTCTTCTTTCATTTGGCCTTGGACTGCTTTTGTAATAGAAGTTGCTGCCTGAGTGATGCTGTTCTCGAGGCTTCTACTCCAAAATTAGCTTTATACTTTGTAATTATTAACTTACAGTTCAGCTAGAGCTGA